GCATACATATTAAAGTTATATGTAACTTATAACCAACCTATGCTTGCTGCCGCAGCTGCCTAGTTGCTCAGTCATGTCTGACTCTGTGTGATGCTATGAGCTGCCACCTGCCAGGATCCTCTGTCTGTGGGCATTCTCCAGGCAAGAATACTAGAATGGGTTGTCATGCACTCCTCCAAGGCATCTTCCTGACCCAGGGATCAAACCTGGGGCTCCTGCATTGCAGGTGGGTTCTTTACCATCTGAACCACCAGGGAAGTCCAAGAATACTCGAGTGGGTAGCTTATCCCTTCTCCAAGGGATTTTCCTGACCCAAGAATTGATCCCGGGTCTCCTGCATTGCAGGCAGATTCTTTACCCCTGAGCCACCAGGAAGGTATATATATATACATATATACATATATACATATATACATATATATATACACACACATACATATACACACACACGCATATATCCCCAAAGCCATTAAAAATATTGACCAATGGATAGACTGTTTAATAAGTATTTCTGGGATAATCAATCCTTTAAATCGATTAAAAATCTCCACTTCACACATAAACACTTACATATGAAAAACAAAGCTTTTTTAAAACTTAGGAAAGTTTGTGATATTTTGTGAGGGAACGATTTCTCAAGCAAGACTGTATGAAACTAAAGCAACACTATGCTCTCTCACAAACAAACACAAGCACAACACATTGGCAGCACTGTAGATATCTGGGGACCCTAAGTGTTACTGAGCATGTGCTGAAAAGATTTGCATGTTTGTGTAATGTACTTTAGAGAAACCACTTTGGAGAACAATTCTGTGTTACCTAGTTAAATGGAATATGTGCATATTTTTTTTAATCTCAAATTCTACTGCTAGTTTTCTCCCAAAGAAAAATTCCAGGAACGTGCAGAAGAGATATGTAAAATCTTGCATTGTAAGTTACAGAATTATAAGCAATAGCAGAAGAAAACAATGTGGAAACACTAGTTGTCCATCAGTGATGGAAGTTTTGTTTCTCACTACTAAACAGGGTTAAAATAAAGATACTAGATCTAGTGAATTAATAGGGATAGCTGTCAAATACATGACATCAAGTGAAATAGAGCCAGTTTTGTAAATGGACATATATGATAGCATGCTTTCAGATAAGTTTTTAAACCAGTAAACCATGTAGTGTGCTGTTTGTGAATCGACCCCTGGGTTGACCACCTGATGAGAACTGATTCATTTGAAAAGACCCTGATGCTGGGAAAGATTGAAGGCAGGAGAAGAGGATGACAGACGATGAGATGGTTGGATGGCATCACTAACTTGATGGACATGAGTTTGAGCAAGCTCCGGGAGTTTTTTGGTGGTGGACAGGGAGGCCTGGCATACTGCAGTCTATGGGGTCACAGAGTTGGATACGACTGAGTGATTGAACTGAACTGAAAAGTCAAAAGAAGCTAGCAGATAGCACTCTGTTGTGGTTATTTCTACTTAGAGAGAATCGTATATAGTATTTGGGGCTTTTGCTATTATTAGTAAATTTTTAATTAAAAAAGGAAAAGTAAAAAGAAAAAGTGAATGAATGAAAGTTAAGGTAGACATGATGAAGTGTTAATATGTTTTTCACTTGGGTGATAGTTTAAAAGGATTCCTTTCTTTTGTATATTTACCTATGTTTCAAGGATCTAATAACTAAAAATATAGAAAATGTGATGCATGGCACTGATTGACCTGAGTCGCCTCTATTATTCTCCTACAATGGTAGTATTTCTATAATTTTTAATCCTAATCTCAATGGCCTTCACAATGCTCTCACTTCCTAGATGGTAAATTCCCATGCAAGTATACACCTGCATCATGTATAAACTCACCACATTTTCCTTTCTTGTAGCGTACTTTTTCAAAAAATAAACAATGACATTCAGTTTCCATTTAAAAAAAAACCCACCATATTTACTTTGTTTTCAGAAAATATTCTATATATAATACTTATTTGCTGTTCCTGACAAGTTTTCTGTGATAAAATCATCTCTTTAGAAGTATCTCCCCTACGATGTTTGTTTGTTTGTTTTTAATCCAAATCAGTCTATTATCCATAAAACACTTTTTTTTTTTTCCTTCTAGATTGCTTACCATCTACTCAAATTCAATTTAAGTGTTTTGGGGCTGGCATCCCTGAGTCACTAGCAAGGCATTTCCTACCTGTTCTTTGTAAAATAAACTCCCCCCCCTGCCAGTCAGAATGCTATCATCAAACTATAACTTTAATATGGGAAAGGACCCTCTGACTCTGTATATTGGGGTATTTATTTTGGCATGGTGAGTTAGAAGGGCTTAAATTAGAAAACAAAATGTTGATTATTGCTGTACCATCAACTTCACTCATTGGTAAAAACTAGCTTCTCTTCTGAAGTCAGGCTCTGTGGAAAAACAAATAAAGGTCCTACCTCTGTCCTCAGGTCTCTGTTTCCTGACCTGGACTTCAAAGTCCCATGAGGTCCAGTGTGGATCTGTAATGACTGTATCATTTGTTCCTGGTGAGTCAGCAGAAGTGGAGAGTGATCACTGTCTGATTATTCCTGGCAGGTTTATAGTCCCAGCTTGCCTACGTGCACCAGGAAAATGGCAGAACTCCCATTTTCCTTCATCACAACTATCCATATTTTTCTCCCTCTTCACTCAGGAGGGTGTTACCACCTACAGTTTCACTTTTTGCCCTGGGCCACTGGCATCCTTTTTCATAGCTGCTGATGCTTCCAGAATCAAGTGTTCAGTGGAACACAGAATGAAAACTTTTCAGAGTGTCACAGCTGACAATAATGAAGAGGCAGTGCTGTACATTACTAAGATCATGAGACCAAGAATCAGACAACTAGCCTTTGGTTCCGTATTTTTATCCCAGAGCAATGAGAAATCAATATAATTTTGAGACAAAATCCCAGGTCTTGAAAAAATCTCCAGCCTTCTGGAGTCTAGTACAGGCTCTGCGCATTCCTCCTTCTCTTCCTGTGTGCCCCCAGACATACACAGGGTTACACGCAGTCACCTGTCTTTGTCCTTGGTCACACGTTAGTGGGAAACTTTGATAAGCACTGACACATGTAACATTTTTAATAAACTTCCATGTCATACATATAAAAATTCATACACTGTCTTCCTTATTTGTATCATAGGAAATCGCTTTTTCTTCCCTTTTACTGTGCTATATATATATATATATATTCCTGACACATCATTCCCCTTTGAAAATGCTTTCTTTCTGATTTTCTTCCTTTTTTTTTCCTCTTCTTGTCTAAGGTGCCTTCATTGTAGTTAATGATATGGACTGGTGAAAAGCATTATTTGAGGACTCTTTTCCTGCTTTAGCAAGAAGAGAAGCTTGCCCCTTGCAACACTTAGGATCAGTGGTCACCCTAGGCAGAAGACGTAAGGCAGTCTCTGCAGCCACGACTCCTTTCTGTCTGTGTCCTCAGCTGAACTCACAATTTTAGCTTTCTGTCCTCTAACTCAACCCCCAACCCCCACCCCATGGACTCAACCAGAAAACTGTTTGTCTTTGTTTGGGTCACAAGGTCTTACCCTATAGCACTCAAACTCTGGGGAGAAATTTTAGGCTGCTGGAAGAAATCACAGTATGAAATTCAAAGTGCTCAGAATATTTCCACAATGCCTGCCAGGCTGATTCATAAAGGCAAACTCACTCCCCATTACAAAGGTTTGAATAAAGACAAGCAGAACTTTTACTCTGAACAAAGACATGATTCACATCCATAAGACAGCGGTTGACGCATTCATGAATGGTTAGTCTATGATCTGGTTGATATCATACATATGTTGCAGGAAGGGGGACCCCTTCCAGGGCCCGAAACTGGGCTCTTGTCTAACACTTGGAAATGAATTGTCCGAGGAGACACATGCTGACAAAGCAAGGGATTTTATTGGGAAAGGGCACCTGGGTGGAGAGCAGTAGGTAAGGGAACCTAGGAGAACTGCTCTGCTGTGTGGTTCACAGTCTCGGGTTTTATGGTGATGGGATTAGTTTCTGGGTGGTCTTTGGCCAATCATTCTAATTCAGCGTCTTTCCTGGTGGCGCACGCATCGCTCAGCCAAGATGGATGCTAGCGAGAGGGATTCTGGGAAGTGGACAGACACGCGGTTTGTCTCCTTTCGACCTTTCCCTAACTCTTCCGGTTGGTGGTGGCTTATTAGTTCTGTATTCTTTATCAGGATCTCCTGTCATAAAACAACTCATGCAAATGGTTACTAAGGTGCCTGGCCAGAGTGGGTGGTTTCAATCACCTAACACATACATACACATATATATGTATATATGTATATATCTGAGAACAGTAATAAGAAAGAAAAGAAAGAAAGTGAAGTCGCTCAGTCATGTCCTACTCTTTGTGACCCCGTGGACTGTAGCCTACCAGGCTCCTCCTCCTCCGTCTATGGGATTCTCCAGGCAAGAATACTGGAGTGGGTTACCATTTCTTTCTCCAGGGAATCTTCCAGACCCAGGGATCAAACCCGGGTCTCCCTCATTGGAGGCAGATGCTTTAACCTCTGAGCCACCAGGGAAGCCCTGCTGAATAGTAATAGCCAACATTTATTGCTTATTAGATGCCAGGAACTGTGCTAAATACTTTAAATATATTATCTCTCTCTTTGTTTTTAAATGAAAGCATAGTTGATTTACAACAGTATATAGTTTCAGGTGTACATATTCATGATTCAATATTTGTATACATTGTACTGCATTTAAAGTTATTTCAAAGTAATGACTATATTTTATGCATGGTAGTTTGTATCTCTTAAATTTCTACGCCGATATTAATATATTTAAAACAGACAAGAAAAGGGCCTTTATGTTTGTTTCTTTGTTTTAAAAGTAATTACTACTCATTGTAGAAAATTTGGAACACACAGAAAAGCATGAAGATGAAAAAAAAAAAAAATTCAAGCCCTCGACTGCACCCCCAAGGGCAGTAGAACCTTTACCCAGATGAGACCAGATAATGGGAATTGTGAACTAAATGTCACGCATTGTGTGCAAATTACAGTGACCAAGTCAAGACCCAACTGGGGCAGTCTGGCCAAACCCTGTGCTCTTAATCCCCTGCCACTGACAATGCTTTCTGATAACGTTCTGCTGGGATCCTAGAGCAAACTTGGTGGGGATGACAACAGCAGGAGTATGCCTGAGGTATTATGAGCAGCATCTTCGTTAACCCCTCAGTAACCCATTCATACTGTTAGTGCATGTTTATTCCTGAGCTTGATGCACAGTGAGGCCGGACAAAGGGAAACATCAGTTTGGAGCAGAGAAAGTTTTGTTGCTGGTCCATGCAAGGAGATGGGTGGCTCATATCCTAAGAAGTCCTGAGCTCCCTGGAGGGTTTCCACAAAGCATTTTTAAAAGCAAGGTGAGGAACTGGTAATGATGATCTTATTTCTAAAGAAGAAATAGAGACACAGACATAGAGAAAAAGCATATGGATACCAAGGGGTAAAGGGGTTGGGTGAGATAAATTGGGAGGTTGGGATTGACACTTATACACTGCTGATAATATGTATAAAATAGATAACTAATGAGAACTTACTGTACAGCATAGGGAACTCTACTTATGCTCCGTGGTGACCTAAAAGGGAAGGAAATAAAAAAAAAAAATGGAGGGGTATGTGTATGTGTATAGCTGATTCACTTTGCTGTATAGTAGAAACTAACACATTATTGTAAAGCAACTATAGTCCAAGGGAAAAAAAGCCAGCGGAGAGAGAGGGGTTGCAGGGTGCGTGATCAGCTCATGCACAGTTCTCTGATTGGCTGATGGTGAAGGAACAAGGTGGTGTCACAAAGGTTAACCTTATCTAGTCCTTTAGGCTCAGGAGGCCTGGGGCTATGTGCTCACAGTCATCAAGCAGTTAACATCTTCCATTTGGTGGCGGTGATGGTGGGGGGTTCATACCTGTAAAATTCGGAAAATGTGCACAAATACTGTTACCGTTCTCTATTCAATAGGTACTTCACAGAGGCGCTAAAGTAGAGGACATGGGGGATGGTCTCTCTCTGGGAAGGCCCCTGGGGTCCTGTGCTAAGCTGCTCAGTTGGGTCCAACTCTCTGCGACCGTATGGGCTGTAGCCCGCCAGGCTCCTTTGTGGATGGGATTCTTCAGGCGAGAATACTGATGGGTTTCCATGCCCTCCTCCAGGGGATCTTTCCCGATTCAGGGGTCAAACCAGTGTCCCTTACATCTCCTGCAACTGGCAGGCCTATTTGTTTTGCTTGGTTGGTTACAGTTCCCCCCTTTTCTGTGATACTCCTCAATCTTGAGGAGAATAAGGGTTAAAGAAGAAAAGGAAGAAAGGTTCAGATAAGGAGGTTAATCATAAGCTGACAGAGGTGCCCACAGGGTCTTTATCCCCATTTGGAAGATGAGGAAATGGGCTTAGAGAGGTGACATGCGTGCTCAAGACCAAGTTTACACAGCAAGTGAGCAGGAGTGCTAGGGTTAAAACACAACTTTTGACCAGAATCTTTCCTCTTGGGCACCTTGGTGAATATGGACTGCTTTTCTGAACTAGCAGGGCAAACAGGGATCTTAGCAGTCATCTTTCCCCAAATTGCTTATTTTATAGACTGGACAACTGAGAATCAGAGATGAGTAGATGGGAACAGGATAGGTTAATGATCATGATCATCACCCTGGTGTTCTCTTTAATGGCACCGAAGGAATTCATACCACTGAGCTGGGCAGCTTCTTTGAAGGGATGTATTTCCTACTAGTCCTTAAACCCCCCTTTCCTACATCATTTTCTCTGGTCATATTCAGTAACATACACACACACACACAAATTCTCAGATTCATTTACTTTTTTTTCATATGGTAGTAAATACCAGGGAAAATGTAGTTCTGCCTCTAGGAAGTGACACTCCAGTTCCAAGAAGCTGAAGGCAGAGTTGAAATTTGCATTTGCATTTGAATTTGGTTTGCAGCGTTGCAAACCAAAATTCCAATCCCATGTAAATCATGAAATGGACTTTGGACTCACCAGTTCCAAATATTATTGTGCTGCTTATGTGCAGGGGTAGACCTAAAACAAGATACAATAGCCTGAAAATCATGTCCCTAACTACCGGGAGTTACTTTTCTTAGTACTGAATAGATGATAGGTATTGTTGTTCAGTGGCTCAGTCGACTATTCATGACCCCAAGGACTGTAGCACGCCAGGCTTCCCTGTCCTTCACATCTCTCAGAGTTTGCTCAAACTCATGTCCATTGAGTCAATGATGACGTCTAACCATCTCATCTTCTTTCACCCCCATCTCCTCCTGCCCTCAATCTTTCCCAGCATCAGTGTCGGTTGAAAGGTGACAGACACTTTAACCTTAGCTCTGGTGAGAGATCTGGGTGAAGTGTCTTCATTCTCTGCATGAATGCAGAGTACATCAATTTTCTACCCATTTTTCAATCAACAGAAGCTCCCTCAACAGAAGACAAGAGTGAGACACAAAGGCAAAGCAACCAGGCAGTCACGGAAATATTTAAGGTCACAAGGTGAACAAGTCTCAAAGCCAAGAAAAGAATTCCAAAGAAGTCATCTGAAAGAAACAATGGATTATGTCTTCTGCAAACAATGTTCCCAACGGAAAAACTCACGTTGGGCAATCTCCTTGTACTCTTTGTTTCCTGTCTCTGCTGCTCAGCCTTTTAGCTCTTACACAATACATGTCTTTAATTTCATACATGTATGGAAGTGTAGGGGAAAGGCCCACAACCTCTATGGCCCCCCAAATTCTTGCTAATAGAAATAGGCAGCACATTGAGGGTGTTCACCCAATGCAGTATTAGACTCCCATGAGCCCCCTCAAGTGCATAGTCTTCTTTTTGTACCTAACCACACTTAGAAATCACTAGTGGTAAAGAATCTGCCTTCCTAAGCAAGAGACAAAAAAGACATGGGTTTGATCCTTGGGTTGGGAAGATCCCCTGGAGGAGCAAATGGCAATCCACTCCAATATTCTTGCCTGGCGCGTCCCCATGGACAGAGGAGTCTGGCGGGGTACTGTCCACGGGGTTGCATAGAGTTGGACACAACCGGAGTGAATTAGCACGCGCACAGGCACACACACCTAGAAATGGGGCTTCCTACATGGCTCAGCATTAAAGAATCTACCTGAAGTGCAGGAGACACAGGAGATGTGGGTTCAATCTCTGGGTCTGGAAGATCCCGTGATGATGGGTATGGCAATCCAGTCCAGAGAATCCCATGGACAGAAGAGCCTGGAGGGTTATAGTCCATGCTGTTGCAAAGAATCAGACATGACTGAGGTAATTAAAACACACACAGGTTTTCCTGTGTCCAAAATGTCTTGTCTCCTCCCCTATAAACAACATAGCACTGTTCTTTTGCAGATTATCAGTATGTTTTTCATTAGATGTTGTTTTGGAGGCATTTCAGGAGTAGTTAAGCATTATTTTTTCAAATGTGGGAAAGAAAAATCCCCAATTACTTCACTTCTCATGTCAGGCTTTATCCATCAAGGTTAGAAACATTTTGTAGATGGAAGAGACTAATATCAGCCAAACATGTATCATGTTTCTAATGATGTCAGTTGCATGAATTTCAGCAAAGAAAAGCCATCTAGAGGTTGATGAATACACTTGCCAATAATTAATATAATACTGACTTTATAGATTTGTTTATGTAACCTATTAGAAAATGTGGTGGTTGGAAGAAAACCCCTAATATTACAGACTTTGGCATCACCTAAGGAAAGTTCCAGAAGCTTCCTGGTTTTATAATGCTGTCTCTTCTGGTACTCAGATCATGCTTATGAGTCTGGCACAAAGTGACCTTCAATGCCCACAGGGTGCAAAAGGCTACATCGTCGTTTTAAATATTTGATGGTGAGTTGATTTTGAAAAACCCACCACATGTGTGTTTCTCCTCACAATAGTTTATCAATTCCATTATCATTCTACTAAGTGGAGTAACCTAGAATTGCCTAGGCTTCCTGAGGAGTTAGAGATAACCATCGTCAATAAATATTTATTGAGCACCCTCTTTATGGTTAAGAGACTGTGCCAGGCACTATACGAAATCGGATTACAACTGCACAGCCACTGCCCAAAGGGGCCTGCAATCTAATTAGAGACACCAGATGAGATAAACAGGGGTGATACGCTCAGGCCAGGCAACCCCATATTGCTCGTCTAAAAGAGAGAGGAAAAGATAGTGTGCTTTATTAGGTTAAAGGGGGGAAAAAAAAGACTTTTCCCCTCTCTGTATATCCTTTGTGTTTATTTCAGTCTGGGTTTAGGAAAATGGCTTTGGCTTGGGTAAGTGTTGCTATCAATAAGGTCTTAGAGATGAGATTGGAGACACACTTCATCATTTTTCTTGTCCTCTCCCTCCTTGTTTTACACATCCCCAGGGCACAGGCATCACCTAATGCCATTTAAGTCAGGATCAGTTGTCTCCAAAGTGTAGCCTTTTTAGAAGCAACAAACTTCAAGCCCTTCCTTGTGTTCTGAGTCACCAAGGTGGTGGGGAAATCAGCCGAGAAATGCTGTGAGAAAGAGGGGTTAATAAACACCCTAGTGGCTTTCAGGGTGTCTGACTCTTTGTGAGCCCATGGACTGTAGCCCACTAGGCTCCTCTGTCCATGGGATTCTCCAGGCAAGAATACTGGAGTGCGTTGCCAGGCCCTCCTCCAGGGGATCTTCCCGACCCAGGGATTGAACCTGTGTCTCCTGCATTGGCAGGTGGCTTCTTTACCACTAGCGCCACCTGGGAAGCCCATGTTTTATATCAATCATCCTTCAAGAGGGTTTCCTGGACCAGCGTCACTGGGGAACTTCTTAACAACGCAAATCCTCTAGTCCCATTCCAGACCTACAGAATCAGCACCTCCAAGGGGATCTGGCAGCCCGGACTTTCAACAAGTCACGCTGGTAACGGACGCACATGCCCTGGAGAGCCTCTGCTCACCCATCAAAATGGGGCCAACTGGTGTAAAAACCCCAAAGCAGAGACTCTCCTGACTCTTGTGTGATTGGGGTTGGAAAGATGTCTCCGTAATTTCAAGATAAGAGGACTTGGGTCTTTAAAAAAAAAATGGAAATTTTTTGTTGGAGAAAGAGAGACAAGGGGGCTTTCTGGAGGGGCTGGTTCTGTGGGTGGGTTCCAGTTTACTGTTGAGGAATCTGAAGGAAAGCTCAAGGGCAGGACCTCAGCTATTTTCTGCAGTCTCTGTGGGTTCCCACAGGGACCTCATTCAGTAACCTTGACAAGTGCATTAGCCCCAGTGACCGACGATATGATCCATCAGTGATGACATTGCGAGTGGAAATAATCTCAGAGGGAGGAGAGGATTACTTGCAGTCCCTTTTGCCAGGAATTGCAAAACTGGAGGTCTCAGCCTCGGAAAGAGGAGATGACCAAAGCAGCATATGAGCAAGACTAATCAGGAGAATAGCTGTTTGTTGTTTAGTCTCTAAGTCGTGTCTGACTCTGTGATCTCATGGACTGTAGCCTACCAGGCTCCTCTGTCTAGGGGATTCTCCAGGCCAGAATACTGGAGTCGGTTACCAGGCCCTCCTCCAGGGAATCTTCCCAACCCAGAGATCAAACCCATGTCTCCTGCATTGCTGGCAGATTCTTTACACCGGAGCAACCAGAGAAGTCCTACCAGGAGATTAGGAAGAACACAAAAATGGAAGTGCAATTATGTGATCATGTGTGGTTCTTATTCAATGTACAGATGTATGACTTGGTTATCCCAGGAAAGAGTGAAAGGGGGCAGGGAAGATGGAAAAGTTCAAGGACCTGTGAGATCTTGGGGGGCAAGTCAAGAGAGTGCTGACACCTCAGTGTACACTATCTCACGGAGCCTCACACCTGGAGAACGTCAGTGACTGGCTCAAGGTTTCTACAGCTTGTAAACACGGTAGCTGACCACACACCCTGCAGAAGACTAACAAGGCTGAAGTCCCCCAAACCTGTGAAGCCTCGAGCTGAGAACTGTAAATCTCGCAGTAACCCCCTTTGGGTGGTGATTATCACCCCAGTGAAGGAAACAGGCTGAGAGAGAGAGGAAGCAATTTCATTAGCAGTAATGGGGTTACTGGAGCAGAACCCTGCAGCTTACAACTTTGATGATGGCTTGTTGAGGAAAGCAGACCCCTAGAAGACATAAATCAGTGCTGGATTCAGTGAAGGGGAAATGACAAACTAAGTGAAGACAATTTATGGTATGAACCAGGGAGACCTTAAATTCTCCTGGTGAGGTTTCTGGAGTCCAGAGAAGGACCCTGTCTCTAATGTCTCATAAATGCAGAATAAAATCTTCCGTTCCAGGCAGCAGGCGGTTTATAGAGCTCGGCCCTACTCTCTCCTAAGTGGCTACTTCCAATTAAAAAAAAACAAAGAGCCGACAATGACACCGGGATGGAAGATAGAGAAACTTTTCAGTTTAGAGTCTCAAAGATTCCTGGGCCTGGAGGAACTTGCTTCAGAGAAGGTGTATCCTCAAAGACCTCTATAAGGACTCACAAATTACCAAACCAATTGGGACCTCTGGTATTTTTGCTTCTCAAATTATTTTTCACAAATAACTTCTTATGAGTGGGTAAACACTTCTGGAAATAAAAGACTTGGAAGTAAATAGGGCATTCTATTAAGAGTTAACTAAAATAAAAAAGAATCTGTGTAGTTAATTTCAATTTAGATTAATAGGGGCATATTATTATACACTGGTGTTCTAGAATGCTCAACAAGAACAACATTTAATTTTCAAATGAATGTAAAAGCTTTCTCCTCTTAATGTTTTATATAATGCAGTTAAAAAACTAATTCATGCAGCCATAATGCCTACATATATATTCCGACATAATTATGTATACATGCCACACAGCTATCCATTTATAGAATTAACTAGGTATAGTTTTACAGATTTAAGTCTATACAAATATAATATTTACAAAGACTAATTAATATTAAACATGCACATACATCTATGTATAGCATTAATATTAAAACAACATCTAAGGGCTGGCTGTGTGGTTTTCAGTTTATGCTTTGTAGTATATCAAAGAGTCACATTTTAAAGATTTGTTTGCTTGAAAATACCTCAGTAAAGTTATCTATTAATGGAGTGCATCAGCTTCCCTGATAAAGAATGACGCCATTTAAAGAAATACTTGGTCATTATGTCCTACTGACAGGCATAATTAGGAATGTCTGTCTCCAGATTTCATAAGAATAGAGAAAAAGTTGTTGTTCAGCAGAGCCAAATCGTGCTCTCTCCCCCATGGAGTAATTTAAACCCAGGCTGAGCTGGGACAGGGACAGGTGTAATTAGGCTGGTGTCTGCCCCTTCCCGCCTGGCAATTACCATAATAAGACCGACTACAGAGAGGCCAGAAGCTAACGGCCACTTTGGCTGTCGCCTTCTAAGACTGTCACCGGAGGAGAACAAGCAGTCCATTGGACCAGGAGGAAGAGCTCTGTAGATGCTGGTAATTGGCCTAGTGACAGGAGTGTCTGCAGATGACAACAGAGCCAGGCAGGAGCCCTGAGAGACGGGGCAGCAGCAGTGAAGTCACACGGGATGAAGGACTTCAGAGAATTTACAGGCACGTCATAAATACATCCGAGGGTGTGGGAGGGCGCTG